AAAAAAAAAAAAAAGATTACTAGACTGTTGACCATAGTCCTCTCCCAGAATGGCATATCTTACGTGCTCTGCTTAAAAGATTAAATGAGCTTTACATGTTCACAGATATTTAGAACCCAGTGTAGGATAGTTACAAGACCCTCACCTTCATATGTTGTGTAGATTTAGAAAATTCCTTGAATTCTACAAATTCTAGAAAAGTGACTTAAAATCAGTTCCTAAAGCTAAGTTTAATTTAATCTCATTTTCCCCATTTTCAATCTCAGATATCATACTGGGTAGTAAAAGAGACATAATGTAAAAAAGAATCAAAGCATCTGTAGATTCTTCAAATCAAATGACTGTCTTGAGGCGTGGAGAGTTAATTTGAGTGCATAAATTTGTGGAATGGTTTTGTGTAGTTACAGAATGCCATTTATTTTCAATTTTCCTTAATAAATTTGGTTCTGTGGCAAGAGCCCTGGAGCCAACTATTTATTCTATACCTATCAGTTACTACTTCTTTAGCATTTAATTTTTTGTGTGTTTTTTTTCTCATAGGAAGAGGAAAATCTGTGAGCTGTATGCCAAAGTGCTGGGATCCCAGGAAGCTTTACATGTAAGAAGCTACCAGCTTTACTTGCTAGCCGGTTCTACTGTTTGCTCTAAGTGATAAAGCATGGCAACATCTCATTTCCTGACCATCTTATGAAGTGGGGGAGGTATATAGAGATATGCTCAGTTTGGAGGATTAGCTACAGTGATTGCAGAAGGCTACTAAAAGCTGATGATAATGCCTTATATTTCTGATGAAGAGGTTCCTTTGGGCTGTAGTGTTCACTGGATAACCTTCAGCCATTTGTAATTAGTGCCTTGAACTGCAGGTATTATCTCAAGGGTGGGTAAGATGGGTCCCCAGAACAGAGGTCCTACCATCCTATCAGTGTCAGCTGACTGCTGCAAAATAAAATCCCAGATCATCATTTGTTCACGAAGGCACAATAGTCTATACCTTTAACAAGATGGACTGAATCTAGATTCTCTTCCCTTGCTAATTAATTTTTCCCTCTGTAGACTCAGTTCACAATCAGTTTAAGGAATTTCAGTGCTTTCAGTCCATCACTGAACAAAATTATGAGAATGAAATGATTTCTGAAGAGCCTACCAGATGACTGCAGAGGCCCTTCCAGGGCATTATCTGTGAAGTATTCAAATAATAAACTTTCAAAGTGTGTTAGAGAAATCAAAGAAAATTCTCTTATGTCCCTTAGGAAAAATTTCTCATCCCCTTTTTAGAAGAATTCCCATCATTCATTTTTTAGCTTAGAGAAGTGGTTCTGAAAAAAGCCTTTCTCAACTTCTTACTTCCTCCTTCCCCTCCTTTCCTTAGTAATAATGTGTGCATAGATAGGGAAGTATATTCTGTTATTTTTTTATGGGACTTCTTGTGAATTTAGGTCTAAAGACTTTAGAATCAGTGTGGAAATATCTTTTCTTCTGGATGATGGAATACTCCATGTCTCTCCTATTCAAGATGTTGAGAAAATAAAATTGTACATCTCTTATCATTTGGTACCTTACAAAATGCCATTACTTAGTACTATCATGTTTCCCCTCAAATGAGTTGAAGGACTTCTCTTTTTATTTGTTTTTTTGGTAGTATAAACTTTTTGTTAAAGTAAAAGGTACAAAAGCCTTCCTTGTTGACTGGCAGCATTTCAGCTTTGTTTTCCCTTTGGAATTTTCTCTCCACTCAACTGTAGCCTGTACATTATGAAGAGAAGAACTGGTGTGAGGAGCAGTACTCTGGGGGCTGCTACACTGCATTCTTCCCCCCTGGGATCATGACTCAATATGGAAGGTAATACCAAAATACTATGATGATTAATAAAAGCCATGAACCAAACTTAAAGGATAATCAGAGTTTAATGAGAATTGTATAAATACTGGTCATCATTCCTATTTCTAAAATATCAGATAGTCAGTACATCTCTGGATGTCCATAGAAACATAAGTATGTCTTTGCTACCAGTACATAGAACAGTTGTCCTCCATTCAGCCTTCTTGAGCTCAACTAGACGTGGTCTCACATGACTACTTGGTCCCAGTCTACTAAGAAGGATATTGTATAAACACAACTTGCCAGCAGAGCAGCAACAGAAACACCTCTTCATTGGGAGGGGTCCTCACTATACAGCTAAGATGAGGACATGAAATTCGCACAGGGGAAAGGGGAAATACAGCTAGATTTAGAAGACCCATGCCCCTTGTTCTTGTTGTTAGGTGCCGTCAATTCGGTTCCAACTCAGAGCAACCTTATGTGCAACAAGGAAACACTGTCCATTCCTGTGCCATCCTCACAGTCGTCGCTGTGTTTGAGCCCATTGTTGCAGCCACTTTGTCAGTCCATCTCATTGAAGGTCTTCTTTTTTGCTGACCCTCTACTTTACCAAGCGTGATGTCCTTTTCCAGGGACTGGACTCTCCTGATAAAATGCTCAAAATACTTGAGATGAAGTCTTGCTACCCTCACTTTTAAGGAGCATTCTGACTGTACTTCTTCCAAGACAGATGTTTGTTCTTCTGGAAGTCCATGATATATTCAGTATTCTCTGCCAACACAAAATTCAAAGGCCTATTAATTCTTCTTTGGTCTTCCTTATTCATTGTCCAGCTTTCACATGCATATGAGGTGACTGAAAATACCATGGCTTGGGTCAGGTGCACCTTAGTCCTCAAAGTGACATCTTTTCTCTTTTAACACTTTAAAAGAGGTCCTTTGTGATATCTCTTGTCCAGTCTCATAGTCATAGGGTCCAGCATCCCTAAAAGGGACATATCCAGTTACAAGAGTTACCACATTCAGGAAAGCCCCAAAAGATGCCCTCATGCCAGGTATTTACATTTACATCTATTACAGTCTTCCCAGCCCAGCTGCAATTTATCAGTGGGAGCTAATTTTTAGCATAAGCAATTTTATATGTTTGTCCTCCTTCCAGAGGAACAGAACTACAAAGTTAGCTCAAGGTCAAATTTGTCTACAGTGAAGGAAAAAAAATTTTGTTAAACCCTTTCCTTACATTAGCTTGTTTTGTTTTTCCTTATTTGAATCAAATGCCCTTTGGTAGTGATAAAAGGATTGATTTATTGGATTAGTTCTAGAATCAAAATAGAAGTCCGAAAGATGGGACTAGAAACAGCAATAGATGAGGCTAAGAATTCCTGAGTTAGAAAAGGGAGTGGCAGTGAAGGTTTTTGGAGTAGGGGTATGCATCTTGGTAGATATCATAAAAATGGCTGCAGACATGACAGAAGGCAAAGCCGAGAAGTTAGACATTTGTCCACTTATACCACCCCTCCCTTGGTTCTCTTTGCTAAGACCTCTTTGGAAGAAGGCAGACACTTCAGTCAGTCCCCAGATGAGTTTATAGAAACTCTGGTGGCTCAGTGCCTAAGGCATTTGACTGCTAACCAGAAAGTGGATAGTTCAAACCCACCAGCTGCTCCATAGAAGGAAGATGGGGCATTCTACTTCTGTAAAGATTTACTGCCTTGGAGACCTAATGGTTATGAGTTAGAATCGACTTGATGGCAGTGGGTTTGGGTTTTGGTTTAACTATATAGACGTTATTTTAAAGGAGACAGACCCATGTAATCCCTCAAGTCTCTCCTTTGCCAGAAGTGATAGGTACTCTCTCCCATCTCCCCACCCCCACTCCATATCCTCTTGACACTGGGAAGGTCTGCCAGGGTTGCGCTCTACAGTCATATGATCTCATGAAGAATGCAGCTCTCATCAAGATAGGCATGACACAGTGTTGGGGACAGAATAGAACTCAAATAGGAAGCACAACAGCAAATAAATCTGATTATAGATCAATGTGTGTCCTTATGTTACAGTTATAGCTGGTTGGGAAAAGGTCAGCATCACCTTTAGTGATTGATGATCTGACAGCCTGATTCCCTTTGGCTTGAAAGTTCAAATCCTTGGGTACAGGCCCAGGAATCAGGGAGTGGCTTTTCACCTTTCACTGAACTTTTGAGATGTTTTTTAAAGAAACAATTTGAGTTTCTCTGACTTTTGTGGCATAAACGAGCCAGTGATTGACTCGTTTACCCTCAGCACCTTCCCAGTGATCTCAACGTAACTTGTTTTTTCCCTTCAAGGGTGATTCGTCAGCCAGTAGGCAAGATTTTCTTTGCTGGCACTGAGACAGCCACACAGTGGAGCGGTTACATGGAAGGAGCAGTCGAGGCAGGGGAGCGATCAGCTAGAGAGGTAAGGAGGAATCTGAGTCTCTCTCCCTCCTGAGTCACAGCAGCACTGCTGGCACCTGGTCATTCTGGTTCTTCACCCTGACAGAATCTGTCCACTCCTCTACTCCCCACTCTTGGAGCTTCTCCTTGTCCAGCAGAGCCTTGAAATCTATTAAAACTATAGAATCTCATTTTATAATGCCATGATTACTTTCTTTCAGTTCTTAAATGCTGTGGGGAAGGTAGCAAAGAAAGACATCTGGGCTCAAGAACCTGAATCAAAGGTAAGTTTGGCAGCCCCTTCTCCATAGACCGGTACTACCACATATAAAACTCCCATTTCATCTCTCTTCTACTAGCCTGTGGTTTAGTTGTAAATCCAGGTATCCAGGGAATATCCATGTGCTGATTTCTAGAGATATGTTTTGCTCCTCCTCATCAGTGCAAGAGATTACTGCTAACACTGTGTGTTCATTCATTTAGGATGTACCAGCTGTGGAAATCACCCGCTCCTTCTGGGAGAGGAACTTGCCTTCAGTGGAAGGCCTGTTGAAGATCATTGGAGTTTCATCATCAATAACTGCCCTGTGGATTGTGATGTACAAATTTAAGCTGCTGAGCCGACCCTAAAGCTTCAACTTCATGGTTTCTGCTGTTCATTTCCCTGCCTCATCAAAAAGAAAATATTGGAAAATGAAAGGATGTTTGTTCATCAGACCATCTTTAAGTGCACTAGATTTAACCCATTGGTTCAGTTTTCATTAGTGTTAAAGTGAAAACCACCAAAAGAATCACTTAAGTCATGTCAGTAAAACCAAGTTGCATCTTGTCTGTGTGGAAGTAACTGCTGTTGATTGATAGAATAAAGCCTTGTGAGCAATATCTTCACAAAGTTAAAGTGCTCATCAAAAATTATTTCTGTGTCCTATTTTTTCTCTTGGTTAATGCAAAATACCTAATGATTTCAGAAATAAAGCATTAAACTTTCTCTGTAGAGGCTGAGTATTTTTAAAGGCCCAGCCTGTGAGGATG